CTTCTGCTGACTGTAGGCAGTCGTACCGTCGACTCAGTGCAGTTGCACTGAGGTCCTACCTGTTGACTTTGCCACCTGTCTTCGTCTGAAAACGTGGGCCTCCCTTAGACTCACCACTTGACCACTTGCCGACCTTCTAGAAGGACTACAGCTAGGCCTCTGGACTCTACTTGGACTCCTACCTTACAGGTCTACAGTTCGAATCTCCCTACAGCTTACAACCTACGGTGACCTACTTACCACTGGCTATCGTGCAGGTCACGGGTTCAACTCCAGGGAACTGTGCAGATACTGTACACAGGTAAGCTGAGGTCAAGGGATCGACCCCTGGGATCTGCATCGGCTACTGCCAAAGGTGAAAACTGTTTCAATATTTTGACCTGTTAGTTTGTAACAAATAAGTGTGTTTCCCATGTGCCCTGGTCGTGCGTCTTTTCCCTCCCAATAAAATTCAGGCCACGTAGGGGTGTAGAAATGGCGGGGCCTTTCCCTGTAAAAAAAATAAATAAAAATAAAAATGGCGGGGAGGTTCCCGTGATGGCCTTCCAGACTTTTTGCCCGGTTTGGGGGGCAAAAGAACACAGGTTTTGCGGCGGAGTTCTTCATTACATTTCCTGCGTCCCGATCTGGCATGGATGTCGGACAATGGAAGTATTGTGCTGCGTTGTCTCGCTGAAAGAATATGCGAGGGCGGAAGGGAATTGGGTCAGACCCTCACCAGGACATTAATGACCGACTTAGGGACGTAATTGAGGTCAGATACATCCACATCAGGAAATAATTCCGGTCGAGGAAAGTAGTTGTGTGAGTAACTGCCCTCGTATGACTGAAATGAACCCAAGCCGAACGTCGTTTGGGTCAACAAGGACGTCAAACGCCTCTTTCACGTGTCGAAGAATTTGGAAGTCTGGAGTCGCATTGTATGTCATTTACTGTGTCGGGATCCCTGCTCTGCAAGTGCACGTCGATGATCCTTGTCGCGCCAGATTCGTTTTGATGTAGAAGAGGCCGACGGTGGTACCGAATGAGGCCCAAGTACGGGATTTTGAAAAAGAAGGGCCGTACTGGTTCATGAATCTGGCGCAAAAACAGCGCCAAATTCCTGAACCGGTAAAAACAGGCCCAGGGTGATGTGGCCACGGCGCGAAGGCGCCTTTCACCCAGGCTGTAAACGTTTGGGCCGGTAGTACCAAACGGCCGAGTTTTGGGCGGGAGGCTGCGTGGGCATTTCTACCAATCATCCCCATACTTACGCTACCGGTAGGACTTTTTCCACATCTCTGTGGTGCATGCTTGCCGGGTTCGAAAAGCGGTCATGTACATCCATAGACTTCCAGTGGGAGTATGCCCTGAGTCGCGGCTCCTGCCTTTCATCGATCAGCGTGCAGTAAATTCTGTTTTTTTCCATGAAGAAGGGCGACAGCTTCGAGTCATCCTCATGAAACTGACGGGCGCTATGTAATTCAGGAATTTCGTTCATCTGGTTCTGTTTGGATTCGAACGCACGTCTGCATTTTAACAGTTTATGGGTGTACCAACCGAACTAAGCCTGCGCGTGTGCAGTGAATTCCCATGACGGTCTCTTGGATGTCTGTGATCGCCTTTCTGATAACACCTGAATGCACCTGACCGCAATCAAGTGCACAGAGAAGTTGAAAAAGTGCGGGTGTGAGTATGCCCTTTTACTTTGAGCATCAGGGATGTCGAACCTGTCCGGTAATCCTTGTGCAATTGTTCTTCACTGAGGGCCTTGCTTCAGAAGTCAACATTCAACATGTAGACGGACGGCCAACTGGACCAGATGCATACGGACTCATCAAACATTTTGAATGTATTGGGACCGTCGCCCCGAGGTCTTGATACATTTCAAAAGGTTGGGGCCGGGGTCCCCACATTTCTGAGATGTAGGTATTCGGTACCCTCGGACATGCTTGGGTCCCTTTTAGCATACTCACACTCGAGACTATTTCAAACTGCATTAGGACTTAATTGCGGTCACGTGCATCTGCGCATGGTATTCTTATGTGAGCAAAATCATGTAATGATATCTTCTTCCAAAGGGAACGAAGTTTTTGGAAATATATTTCGAGTTGCTTTTGGGGAAAAAAAAAAAAAAAGAACGCAACAAAAAAATTTATAAGAGAACGCTCTTCTTTCAGGCCAACCATAGACCACACCAAACTGACCAGAAGACTTCTCAGGCGTCGCACCCATCGGTGCACGCACGGAATTGAACTGGCACCCTTAGCCACAAGAGCCAAACCCCTAACCACTACAGCGATGACACGGTGTACAATAGAGCAACCATACCGGTTATATGATATCCACTCAATCCCTGAGCGACCGCAGAATAAACACCAGTAGTAAAGAAAAAGACCAACAAGAATAGGTGAGACGAAGAAAGACAGTGGCCTTTCAACTACATTCAGGAAAGCCCACGAATGAGTATTGGCCTTATCCAGAGGTGAAGTCCTACTTACCCGAATGATCGGTTTCTGACCTCAGATTTCGAAGATCAACCAGAAATCAAGGATCAGCGTACGCGGGACTTGGCTCCGGGTGGAGCAGATGTGAACGGCAGTCAGATTGTGTAGCAGGGTTTTCTGTGGTTTTGACGCTTTGTGTGTCGTTGGGAATGACAATGAAAATCGATTATTATGATGCAGAACCGTCCTCAGGGACTGAATCTGTTGGTTCATCGGCGAGAAGAGGATGGTCGCTGGGTTGCGTTTGATCCTGACCAGTCTCGCAGAATAATCCAGGCGGCTGCTGCTGGCCCAGGCATTCTCCGGATGAGTGACGGCTCGCGACAAGCAGGGGGAGGAGCTGAAGGCATGGTGTTGATTTTCCTGTCCGCTATGGAGCAATGGATTTTCACTGGCAGTCGTTGGGTGAAGAAAGAAATCCGGTTCGAGCTCAAGAGTCCGCCCGTGGTTAAAACATCCAGGCAGGTTAGTATTCAATTTCACCAGATTATTAATATTAATTCCACCAATCATCAAATTTAGTACCCGATCAAAAGCTTTAATCGAGTTGAATCAAATCCTAGACATGGCCCCTACATGAGTAATAAAGCTACTGCTCTTTTGAAAAGAGAGAAAAAAAAAACAAAAAAAAAGACACGGCCCCTCCAACCCTCAGAAGCCATTTTGTTGCGGGCATCAGGGCATACTTACATTGCTGGTAGGACATTTTTTCTCAACGCTGTGGACGTAGTTGCGGTTATGTTCGTGCACACGTAACCGCAATCGAGGTCAGATGCATTCTCGAAAGTGCTAGTGAGAGTATGCCCTCAGATGTGTTACCACAACGCTGTGGACGTTGTTGCGGTTAGATTCGTGCAGGCCTGGCCGCAATCGAGGTCAGCTGCATTCTCGAAAGTGCTAGTTTGAGTGTGCCCTCAGATATGTCTGCCCGCAATTGAGGTCAGATGCATTCTCGAAAGTGCTACAGTCTTCCCCCGAATACAACGTACGGTGATTATAGCTGAATTTAGACGGAAAGATCCACCAAATTCAGCTATAATCACCGTACGTTGTATTCAGGGGAAGACTGTAGTGTGAGTGTGCCCTCAGATATGTTATCACCCGAAAAGAACGCCGAAAAGAATGCCAGGGCATTATAGCTGTATTCGGCGCAGCTTCCAGTCTGGGTACAGCCGTAATAACTGGGGGTTCAATCATCGGGATAATTGGTGGAAAGCGTCCACGTGGAAACTCTAGATTTTTTTAATTTTTTTAATTTTTTTAATTAAATGGCTCCTTTCCACAGGTGGGGAGCTGCACGGTCTGCACCTCGACCCTTAATAATGAGGCCGGGGTCCTCATAGTCTACCAGGGGAGAAGTGGTAACTTGTATTACGGGGAGCTTCACCTATCCTTGCTTGATCTAAAGTTGAGAGGTGGAATGTCTATAATTTAGGTGGAGTAGTCCAGTGGTGAAGTAGCATTGAGATCCAAAGGTAATATTTCGAGAACCAAAAGAGCATTCAGTTAATCCTGGGGGAAACCAAAAGACAGTGTCAGGTAGGAAGAAGGAAAAATAGCTAGGTCTGGATGGATGGTCCCATTAGAACGCGGAATAAAATAGCTCGCCCACTTGAAGGGGGTGGACCATTTCCTTTGGAAAGCATCTTATGTTTGGCTATTTCCCTTGAGACCGATTGACCTTTGAGCTTGGTCCAGTCTGCAGTGATGTCAAGTTTGATGCAGTGTTTGAACTGAGCCAGAAGAGTAGGGAGAGTGAATTTAGAATTCAAAAAGCGTCCGTCTCTTCTGGCTAGCCATGGAGACCAGAACGCCCTGTTTCTGAAGATGTTCGCTGAGATGCCTGCCTGGTGTTTACTGAAAAGAGGACTCAGTCTTCCTGTGATGACAAAATCATGATTCCAGAACCCAGTTAGTGTGTATGCATTGGCCCACATTGTGTTAAGTTTGTCCCAAAACCGCCCTTGCAATGACGCATTCCCACCATAGGTGCAGCCAATCTTCTCGACGTGCGTGAGAACGGGCTTCTCGACGTGCGTGAGAATGGGCTTCAAAGAGAGTCGAAACTTCCATTCCTTTCTCACAGCACCAGAGGGCGGTGGGGACACAGGAGGGGAGATGTAGCCACTGAAGTCCTCGTATCTTGGTTTCTAGAGAGGAAATAATTATGTGGATGAAAAACATCAGTCATTTGGTGGACAGAGGAGGGAGTTTGAGAGATGCAGATTTCTGTTGCCAGCTAAGAGTTAGGCCTGTTTGCAGCATGACCCTCCGATTGGAGGCTGTAACACACTTGAGAGTAGTAGTCTGTGTTCGGTCCTCTGGTGTTGGCGCCATTTAATCCTGAAAGAATCCAACCACATTTGCAGACATCCACCTTCCACTCGGTGATAGGAGTTGCCTGCATGATGATCCGAAAACCTGTGTTCCCTTGAGTTGTCTTGATCTGCTGTACCTTTCTCTCCTGCAAACCCATTGGTTCAATTTGCTGGGTGTCTTTCTTGTGGGACTGATCCGAAAACCCGTGTTCCCTTGAGTTGTCTTGATCTGTACGTTTATCTCCTGCAAACACCGGTTCAATTTGCTGGGTGTTTTTCTTTTGAGACAGTACATTGTCGTTCAGAGATCATTCAGAAGCTTCCACTACATTCTCGCAGACCATTCAGAAGCTTCCACTACTCCATTCGTGCAGACCTTATCAATTCTGTAGAAGAGATCTGACAATGTGGGAACCTTGAACCATGGCTGTTCCTGTACCCCCTTGTCTGCTTGTTGAAGAATGATTGTCCAGGAGTGAGGGATGGCAAGCATGACATTGGTGAGTTCAGTGGGGTGCTCATGGGAGTGATGTAGGCCGCTTAGCTGTGTACTGAGGACTCTCACGTTCTTCCAATTCCTTCTTTCGTCGTCCCATATGTGATATGTGATATGTAAGCCAGATCCCTCGCTGCATCCACTCGAGGCCAGAATTGCCTGACGATTTTGCCACTGCAAAGGGTAGCCCCTTTCTGTTCAGACTTGCTGGGTTTTCAAATAAGCAGGTGTTCAGGATCTCAGTTTGCATTTTAGGTTCTTCTAAAAACCGGGGAAGAAAATTTTCCCAGGCCTGTAGTACCCTGTACAATGTTCCCCCACGTGTCAGTATGGTTTAGAGGTGAATGGTCTCATTAGTAAGGCATGCCAGACTGCGGCACGATCGGAGAGGTTCCACTGTTGGGCAAGGGAATATTGTGCGAGTAAGATCCACTGTGGTTGTTATTTTGAAGTTAGTGCTCTGATTGGCCATTTAGCCAATAGTCTCCGATTCTTTGTTTCCGGATCAAGAATACCCAGGCCCCGTCTTTCTTTTTCTGGTTATTTTAGTCCAGCTTACTTTACTAGGTGCTGATCGAGCCTCCGAGTCGCCTTTCCGCAATAGGCGGGCGAGTAGACGTCTGATGTTAGTAAAGGACGTGGAAGGTGTTGTTCTAATGGATAAGATGTACCAAGTTTTACATGAAATGAAGGTGTTGATAATCATTGCTCTGCCGAACGAGGACAGGAAGCGGGTTTTAGACCACGAGCCACAAGCATGCCTTCGACAGCGCTTCGGGCTCCCGAGGATCTCCAAAGGAGACTTGGATTCTTAAGTATCGTTCAGGTTCCGATTTCGGTTTGACGGGGATGCCCAAGTCTATGGCGAGTGGTTGGTCGTTGGGGGTGAGGGCGTGGAAGCTCTTTTGGTAAAGGGCCGCCAAACCTGTCCCATTGGGCGAAAAGCGGCTACTGGAAAATGAATCTGGCGGAGGTACAGCGCATGGTTCACGATCCGGTAGAGAGGGACCCAGGGGTGGTCGGCCGCCAGATTTTTGCATCCGATGGCCTGTGTTGCCCGCGGGCTCTTTTGACCAAGGGGAAAATGCTTGGGCGGCCTTTACGGAAAAGGTCTCTGCACCGGGCGCTTTCCACTAACTATCCTGTAATTATCGTTCTTGCAATGGCCTTGTAATCATTATCCTGAGATGATGATGACGCACTCGATACTTGTGATTTGTTCCTCGGGCGAGGTCCCACTAGCAAAAACGGTTGGATTTAAGTGCTGAATGTGGACGTGTTTGTGGAGAGGTGGAGAAAAACGCGATTGATCTGCTTTTCTGCATCTCTCCGGAAAACCCATCCAGATCCTCGTGCTTAATCCAATCCTCTTTGCTGGTTCGACCTAGCCCCTGGTTGGGTGTTAATCGGTTGGTGGTTGTGATAATCTGTCATTATCGGTGGATGGAAGAAGAGTGCGCCAACCAATGAATTTCTGTTTTCCTTTTTTCATTTTTCCTTTTTGATATCAAGGGCCTCGCCGCACTTATCATGCAGCGGTACCCCTGCTGCCCGGCAGTGAGGCTGGCCCAGTTTCAGGCCGTCAGCCTGATCCTGGACCGGTACCAGGTATTCCCCCACCTGGACCTGGGAAGGTATATCACTTCGGCCTAGGCCCGAGTCGGGAGGTTGGTTCATTCATTCTTCAGTTGGTTCGTTCATTCATTCAGTTGGACTGGACCTTCACTCAGCTGCTGCTTCTTGTGTGCATCCATCTCCTCTCTCTGTCTCTCTCTCTGAGTCTCTCACCATCTCTGCACGTGTCCCCTGCACGTGTGTTACATCGATATCAGAGTGGAGTCTCAAACCTCTGCTCCCTCCCTCCCTCCCCCCTGGTTATCCTGTAGTCACGGGTGGCCATCTCCTACGTTTGTCTTTTGATGCTGCACCTGGTCCGTCAATGCGACCAGATACATCCAAGCTCACACCTTTTTCCTTGGTAATCTCCAAGCCGGCGTTACTCCTACTACTGCGGCTCTCCTACAGGCTGCCGACGCTGACCTGCTGCCGCTTGCGCTTTGGATCGTCTGGATTGCGGTGATCTGGGCAATCTGCAGCTGGTAGCACTGTGAGCAGTCCATTGCACAGAGAAATCATCAGCAGGGAAGGAATTCCCCCCCCTGCCCGATTACTCCCGTTCCCTCTTTTGTCTTTTCCCCTGATCGCGACCTCCCGAACTGCCCGTTTTCTACCCCTTCTCGACCCCATCCGCGGCATGATCCGCCTCCTTCCCGCTTCCAATCCTGTCTCCCTTCTCCACGTTCTCAATCCAGGACCTGCTTCCGCACTCTCACCCGCTTGCTCCTCCCCTCCCTGCGTTGGATCCCCTGCTCCCGCTCCAATCCCAACTTCTTCCCCTCGTGGACCTCGCCCTCGTTGTATTCAAACGCCAATCCCCATCCCCCCTCGTGCGCACGTGACCACCTGCTCCGTCACAAATCACCAAAATTTAATGTGCAAAATTGAGGATGTATCTTCGGCCAGAACGTGGAGAGATACGCCCCCCATAGTCCTTGTCCTTGTCACATTTGGTGAGTGGTGCCACTGGTGCGGGGAGGCTGTATTTATTCTAGCGGACAATGCTAATATGGTGGTTTGAATAGTGGCCACCGAGTGAGAAGTTCGGGGGAGAAGACCTGACAGATGTTTACTGAGAGCATACCCATATTAGTACATTAGAACATTTTCGACAAAGGTACGGACGTGATTGCGGTCAGATTCATACATGCCTGGCCGTTATTGCAGTCATATGCATTTTGGAAATTGCTACTGCTATTATGCCCTGAGACTTTGTCAATCTTGTATTGTTTGGTTATGGATGAGCGAGAAAAGAAAGGATGAGGAGATAATATATAATGCCAATCTGTCGGGTGGGGGCGAGTCATGCCCTTAGTCGTATGTGGATGTGATATGGGGATGTCGAGGTCGTGGTGTCTTTTCTCTGTGCCGCATCTCGTCGTTATATTCGGTAGTCGTGTGATGGTTAAACGGCATTGAGTGGGAGTTAGATTGTGTGTTATGTGTCGGTGAATGTCTCCTGTGGACTGTTCTTGTACGGGGTGACAAACTTGACATCAACCTGAGTTGCTCACGGGACTCACCTTTGCTTTCTAATGAATGCCGATGGGGGGGAGTGGACTTTGGGAGTACTATTCTTGCACTGTATTTCTACTTCTTTTGACATTCCTTCGCCTTTTTATCCACTGTTTGGCCATATTCTGGTATTCAGTACTATTCACGCTAGCACTTCCCAAAATGTATCTGACTCAGACTGACTGTAATTACGTGAAGAGTTCCGTCAGAAGTGTCCTTGAATGCAATCATGTGAAGAGTTCCGACAAAAGTGTCCTTGTGTGAGCATGCCCTTACTGTTCATCTTTGTGTTACGATTGAGGATTTAATGTGCTTTCCTCAAGCTTGAGTTTGCATTAATGTGCTTTCAATTGGGATCATAGAAACCACGCCGGTAGCAAAACATTCTACACGCACTGTGTTATCATGGTACTTAGTACGTACAGTGGATGGATTGATATTTACTAGATGATGATTCTAAGTACGGGTAACTTCAGTAAAGTCACAAAAGGAGTTATAATTGGACTATGGGGCAAGATAGAGTTTGCAATTGCACGTCGGGCGCCCTACCTGGCCAGAAAGCTGGGTTGTATGCATTGCCCAAACTGCAATTCGGAACTGTGTCTTGGCCCATAGTGCAATTATAACTCGTTTTTGTGACTCCCACGTAGTTTCCCGTTCTGAGAAACTTTCTGGAAATTGCTTTATAACACTCTTGAATTGAATACTGCATTTCTGCAGGTTTTGTTTGAGACGTTTGAGCACCTTCGCTCAGAAACAGTAATTTCAGAAGCAATCCGGAAGAAGGCGCGGCCGAGTGTTGTCTTCACAACAAGGAGCAACCCGTATTTGAAAAGCGGGAGCGTTTTGTATGAGAGGTTCATTACAGCTGCAGAAAGCGTCAAGCTTCTCGAGACAAAACAGGGTAAGTTCCAATTTAAACGGGTGAGTATTTTCCAGTCTATCCCCCAACAAGGACATCTGTTTTGTGAAGTTTTGTCTTCACATCTGTTTTGCTCCTACGCTTGAGTCGGCTTGACATCTGAATCCCAGACAGATGTCAAGAATACAAGGAAAACGAGGGTGAGGATTTGTGAGTCTATCCCCCGCCAATCTTTCTTTTTTTTTCTTTTTTTTTTGGACAATTTCATGATCTATGTGTCACGTCCTTGTGCAGGAGCCATACTTATCGTTCATTTACTACAGTTTCAATTTAAACAGATGGACAACCCACCAATCTTCAGAAACATTGTTTTTTGCTTTTTGACAGTGGCAAAAAGCACGTAACAAAAGAGAAGGGAAAACGTCATTCAGCAGTGGCGAACTGCCAAATAAATTCATTAAACCACAGCTACCTGCGAATTTCAAACTCTTTAGGCGAATGCCGTAATGCGGGAGAAAGCTGCACGCCAAGCTTTACTGAAGCACCAGCGCGAGTTCTTTGGTAAAGGATATATTTGCATTTCGAGTTTGGTTGTGAAAGGTAGTGGTGGTTAAGAGCAAAAGAAGATCGGTTAAGGAGGTCAGTGTATGTCCTTGATTGAGAAGAATTTTTGCAATGCTTCTGGCAGTTTGTGTTGCTGGAATTGGGACTATTTTAGCTTTTCTTAAATTGCTCTCTCTTATGGAAGTTATTATATTGGAGAATCGATTCCCCTTTTTTCCTTCAACATCCACTTACCCTTTCTCACATATGCTCCTTGTCTTTTTTAGTTTTTTGTTTGTAAACGAAATCATACTGACTGTAATTAAAAAATACAAAAAACTAAAGTGAAGGTCTATGGTTGCATGTTCTCTTTTGCTCCCCTACGGGGGTTCTTTTAACTTTCCCCGGTCACCCACTGCAGGAGTATTTGGCCTTACGAGGTGGTCCTGGCAAATTCACACAGGATTTTGTGTCCCACAGGAGTATTTGGCCTTACGAGGTGGTCCTGGCAAATTCACACAGGATTTTGTGTCCCATGCCAGTGCCGTACCCCTGTTCACCGCTCACAGGGGTTGTGAACGGGGACCGCTCACCGTTCACGGAAAACGTGAACGCCGGTAGTTCACGGAGTTCACGGTGAGCGGGAACTCCTTTTTTTTTTTTTTTTGCCTGGTAGGGGTACTTTTTTTTTATAGACGTGTGGGGACTGTCAAGGGGCACCTGCCCATATTTTTTTTATTTCTTTTTTCGATCGGAATATATATATTTTTTTTGAAAAAAAAAAAAAAAAAAAAAAAGGCCTACTACGACCGTGAGATTTTCAGATCGGGTGGCAACGAGCCATGTTGAGTGGAGGAGGGCTCAGGAGACTCTGAGCCGTTGCGCGTGCGAGAGAGAGAGAGAGAGAGAGAGAGAGAGAGAGAGAGAGAGAGAGAGAGGTGTGCGCGCGCGCCGGGGAGTGGAGGGAGGACCCCTCCCCCACCAATCAATCAATCAATCAAACCCCAAATATTTTTATTATTATTTTTTTTTAAACACAACTATCCTTTTTTTTTTTTTTTTTTTTTTYTGATTTGAAGGTACGGGGTCCTAGCTGGACCCCGCGCGACCCCGATCGCACCTCGACGCCGACCACCCGGGCTGCCATGTGGCCACCAGGTCTGTGAACGGCCCCTGTGAACGGCCGTTCACGGGAATCGGACCCGGTGAACGGCCGGTCACGTTCAGGTGGCCGGACCCGTTCACGTTTACGGGTCCGGCACTGTCCCATGCTACTTGGGTTAGAGCTAAGCTCATGTTGCTTTTGACTACTGGACTTTCACTGTCAGGGTTTAAAAGCGAAAAAAAGTATGGTGACTAGGTTTGTTTGTGCCCGAGTTTAAACCACCAGTACACAGCCCCGGCCTTGCAGAAAGAAACTTGTCGCCACCAACAGAGAATTCGGGCCGGGCGGAACAAGGACCCCGTGATAAATTCAATCGGTGGCCTCGAAATTAAATCAGGCTGCTCAGGCAGGAACCACACGGTGCACCAGGCCTAGGTAGGACAGTGCAGCCTCAACCCTGCCTACAAACCTCGGAATGTAGAGCACCCGGAGACCCGTACACTTTGTGTTGGACAGGCCAAGGCAACAACACCCACAGGTAGACTTATCAATCATAGAGTGAGGGAGAGAGAGAGAGAGAGAGAGAGAGAGAGAGAGAGAGAGAGGGCGCCCAGTAACCTCTAGACGATTGCCTGGTCTGGTAGGCTGGTCCAGCATTAAACCTGGTCCAGGCTACCGGAGCAGACCAGTGGCGATGCCCAAACAGAGTTGTGTGCTGGATTGCACAGGGCTGAGCATACATGCTGGCCTCAGTTTTGGAGAACCGGACTTCCGACCACCTCCGGTACTCAGGCCCGAACAAATCTGCTGACAAGTGCTTTTTGAAATCTGTGAGACCCGTCATACACCTTTCCCCTGCTCTTGCATGTCATTCTATCCTGCCCTCCACATATTTCTTTCGTTCCCGTTGCCCCTACCTCCCCTGCCCCATACTCCTAGACTCCTAGAGAACTCCGCCTTCTATCCCTCACCCTCCACCCTCCCCTCCACTCCCTTTGTACTACTAAACAAATACATACGAATGAGCATCATTAAGAGTATAGACGATATCCACTCCCTTTGTACTACTAAACAAATACA